ATGAGACTCAATTTCCTGAACCACATTACACCGTCCCGAACACTCAAACAACTCCACGTCCAACGCGCCCTCGGGGCAGCCTCCATTTGATCCCACATTTTCGTACCTTCTGATATTCGTAGCCGCTCCACAGTGCCCCCATCGCTGTTACAGAAAGCACCCCCCCGCCGCTCTCGCGTCATCGACCATATATATGCCCACTTATGCATACAAGCCAAGCCCACAAGCATCGCACATCGATTAATTAGTTGGGGCTCTGTCTTTGCCTACTCGTTCTTGTTTTCTTGCCATATCTCAAGGTTCGCCGGCGAATCCGAGCAATCCTAACCTGCGGGGGCCCGGGCCGGAAGGCGGCGACACAGAGCCAGCGGCGGATGAGTTTGGTCCAGAAGGAGAAACGGAGGCTCTAGCCCCTACACTCCTCGAGGAGTTGGAGTCCAGCTTGGACTACCAGGTCGACTGCCCTTCCCCGCAAAGCTCCATGGGCAGCAGCCAGGAGACGAGCCTCCTGGATGAGGAGGTCGATGACCGCGAATATCTGGACTTCCGGGATTTCGCCAAAGACAATCCACTTGCAACGAATAAGGCACCGCCGCCGTGGGAACTAAGTGGGCCACGGGAGTATGGGCCTTCGCTTGATGTCAACGGACAGGAAGAGAGAGTGCTTTGGGGATTGCACCTGCCATACTGCGAAGGCGCGGTCACGGTCGAAGGGGGCGCGGCGAATCTGAGGTACAACCAGAAAGCGGAGGGGTCTGATACGTACCCATTCGAGAATCTTTCGGTCCTTCTACTCTCTCAATTCACCAGCAAGTACAAGGTTTCCCGAGTAATGCTTCGGGGAATGTTGGAGATGTTGCGCTTTGTAGACGACGACGGAAGCAGATTCAATATCGACGATCTCAAAGACGTGCATCATGAACACTTTCAAGCAAGGAGGCGGAAGTATTATCCACTCCTTCAAGTTGTGAAGCGAAAGGTTGAGGCTTCAGCCACGGCTAAAAAGGCCGGCGAGACGACAGCTGACGCTTACGACATCCCTACCAACCTAGTCGTCGACAGACTGCTGAGATCTGCGCCGTCGATGGAGGAAATGTTGTCCAATCAAGGAGGCAAGCAGCTGAGCCGCGACGAGACTGCCGCCGCGGGTCTCGCGTCGACACACATCTTCTCTGTGCCGGAAGAGAAAGCCGATGGAACGAAGGGCAATAACCAGAACGGCGAGCTTGCAAGATCGACGCCTCACTTCGGGTTCGATGGAATAATGGTTGGCATGGACGGCAAGCGGAAAGTGTACGTCAACGACATCGTCATGTGTACTTTGGACGGCGTCGACGATGCCCAACCGTGCCGGATCCTAGCAATATACTGGGACGCAGCAAAGCTAGGAGTGATGGTGGACGTGCGACGCTTCCGACTGGCAGCCGAGGTGGATGGCCAATCCTCCAGCTACTTGGCCGGCACGGACCTTATTCGAGCGTGGGAGCAGCAGGATGACGGCAAAACAGCGGTGCGGCGTGAGGTGATCGATGGCCCTTGCGAGATGTACACAGCGGCCGAAGTTGCGGACAAAGTCCATGAAGATGAGGGTGCGAACGAGGCACCTGCGGAGCAGGACGCGAGACGGTATTTTGCGGAGGGGTTTGTCGTCCCTAAGCCGCCACCAGAGGGAGGTCGACGGCGTCGTAAACGGGCCCTGGACGACGGTAACGTTTCTGTCACATGCGACCGTTGGAGTCCCGAGGGGACGTCGGACGACCCTAAGTTCAGCATCCGGAAGTCCGAGTTCATGCACAACGTGGAAAACCATCCAGCCGCTATGCTACCCCTCGTCCAGTACATCGACGGCTTCAACGCCAATGGAATGCAGACTAAGGCGAGCTCTTGGAAGCGCTGCAAATGCATGTGGTGAAGCCTGTGATGTAGCTCTTACCGTTCGCACTCCTGGGGGGTATAACTCGCCTGATGCACAGAGAGTAGTGCTATCCTTGCCGCGGTAATGACTCAATCACTGCTCCACCGAAACATGCCGCGAAACAACGGCGCGACGAAAATTTGGTACAGGCAGCAGCCAAGGGTTTGCATATTTCTGTAGGATTCACCTGGGTATGGCTGTTCCGCTGGCATCCTAAAACAAAAAGACGAACCGAAGGCGTTGAAGACAGAATATATATTGTTCTGCTGACGCTGTGCACTGCCGATGCTGCCCTCTCTATGTCTCCCTTTTTACAGAATTCCGTTGGAGGCACGTACGTTGGGATGGGTTCAACGAGCTTGGCGTTACAGAGGAGGAGAGGCCAGGCGAACGTCGTAGCTGTAGCTTCCAACGGCTGCAGCTGTACGGGCGAGATGGAGCTTCAATGCCAAGTGATGGGCGAGCTTCAGAAAGGGTGCATAGCTATTGTGGAAATGCCGGCGGTAGACGGCGCACCGGCTCATCGACTCAAGGTGACGGACCCACAGGCATAGCCCTAACCCGACGTGCTTATCATCGATACTTGTATATCTCGCGTCCCTGGACAGACGCCTATAGCTTGTCGTCACTTGTGATCACACACAAACATGTGCACCAGGCACCTTTACTAGGGGGACGATTTAATATACGCAAAACAAGGCTCCCTTCGGGAGTTAGGTGGATTCCCTCCCGGGGGCGACGCCCATGGAAATGGTGAATGTCGTCGTGGTCGCATCGTTGCATCTTAACGTCGTGATACGTCGGGTTGCGTGCAGTATACATTTTTATTTCAATTTTTCGGGCCGCCATTGGCATTCGGGGACGGGAAATACGGCGCGCGATATTCCACATGTAACGTGTTAGGTGTTTCATGTGGTGCGACGTACAGGAGTCCACCTCCTCATCGATCTAATTCAAGCCACCCACCACTATCTCACCATCTTGCTCAATATGTAGGGCCAACATACCTACGCCGCCGCGTCTCGAAGGGTATGCCACGTTCATATTGCGACGTTCCAGAGAACCCACACGCAAGCGCATCCGCTTGGGGAATCTCTCCTGGTTGGTTTTGATGACCGCTATGAGCCAAACGCGGTATACATAACGGTACCACATCTACCGCATCCCGCCGTAACATGTCGCCTTCAACGCCGTCTTTATGCCTCCGCGGTGCCCCGTAGGTGTTCTTGCGCGGGGGGCTGTTGCTGCTGGTTGCGGATTCTCCACAACGCGCTCTGATGTACAAGGGAAAACACCCGAACAAGTCCACCAGATTCCCCTGTATCTATTGCATGGTAGAGCAAACGCAAGACGCGGAAGGGGAAGAGGGCACGGATCCAGGGGGGCCGCTTGGGGATCAGCTGTACGACATAGAATCAAACGCCCGCACCAGGGGGGGGTTGCTTGCAGCAAGGCGACGACTGTTGGAACTGAAGGACCAAGCGTCCGTCCAAGCCAAGGAATCGACCGCGCTTGGAGTCGTTGCTCCAGCAAGAGCCGACGAAAGATGGCTGCTGTACGATGTCATGGACATTGTGCCTGGCAGGACGATGCCCGTCGAAATCCTACACGCAGATGCACTGGTAAGAGGTTTGTCAGTCATCGAACCTGAGCCGATTGTAGCATAGGGAAGCACGATAGGCATGCGGAGTGTGCATTGACCGAAGACGTTGTCCCACTAAAACCCCTTCAAACCCTAAGCGCATATCTACGTCGTCTACGTGGCAACTGTAGCGGGTCGTGTGTCTTTGGAGTGGGTACTGACTATACGACCCACGGGGAGTTTATATGGATTGGGCCCGATAGTGGTTCTCGCAGCGTCGCGCCAAAGTTTCATATGTCGCATAAATCTGTAGTACCCATAGAGCATTCGACCTGCTATTGACTGCTCTTCTTCCCGCTATTTGTACTCATCGCCTCCAAGGTTCTGAATATGCCTCGCACGGATAGTCTACCCGTCGTTTAACCCGATATTTCATGTGGGGCATTGCAAATGTCCCGAACACCACCGACATGATTTTTTTTCTGTGCTGGCTCTCACTAACCCGTTCCGTGATCCGTACGTCTGCGGTGGCGCAGAATGCGCAAGGTCTCGTGCAGAGATTCTTCATTGGCCTGCTCAACACGGAGGGCAGGAGACTTATTTCGGCAACTTTGAGGCAACGCGAAGGAGGTAGCTCCATCTATCCAGTTGGCGAGGCCCCGCTGAAAGACATCGTCACCGACTACGCTTCCCTCACTGGCAGCAATAAATGGCTCCTGGCCTCCATCATGCTGTTGGTGTTTCGACCTGTTCTTCACAGCGCCGCATCTCTGGTAAGCAATGGTTTATGCCCAACAACCTCGAAATACTTCTTGGTCGCCCTCAGTAGGCGTCGTGCTTTCTGCGGATCTATTTGCTCTCGTATATTGGTCGCTCGACAGAGTTGCAGAGTCCCTAGATTACTCTACTTCCAGCGCGACGTGTGGAAATGCAAATTCAGCGTCACCGTTTGTACGCAAATGCTACTGTAGGCCACAATATTGCGATGTTGCACATGCTTGCGAATCCCGCCATTCCCTCTACTTTCACTTCTCCCCCGGCGGAGTACACCTTCCCGCGCGAAGTACCGTAAACGTCGGAGTTTCCCCCCCCGGGGAGGGGACCGTTTTTTTTTCTGAAGCCAATTTTTACGGGGGAAACTGGCGTACCGCGGGGGTTTAGTTTGATACTTTTAGCGCGTTACCCCGGGGGGAAGCACCCCCCCGGGGGGTTGTGCAAAATAATGCTGGTCCACACATCACGCGAAGCATTTCACCCATACAACAACGGCGAGGGCCAAGTGACAAACGGTACACCTAAATCTCGCTCGAAGCGCAAAGTCCAAATGATTTTTCAGTCTCATATCATAATTTTTGTGCTCCGCGATGCAACAAAATCGACTCAGAAACTATGGGAAATACATGCCCCCCGGGGGGAACTCGTGGGTCTACTGGTACCCCGGGGGAAAATTGAAATACCGGGGGGACAAATTATTTTGGCCGAAAACGATCTACCCCATGGACCGAAAACCCATGCTTCCAGGCCGAAATGGTGATGGGGGGAGGAAAAAAAAACTACTGGGGGGGGGGGGGAACTCCCGACGCTTACGGTAATAAAAATTCGTGACTCCAGCTATGCACGGCCTTCTTTAATAAGCAAACTGCACTTGTACTTGCGCGCAGGAAACGTATGTGCTTGCGCACGAATTCGCCGATTTGAAGGCGAAGTTTGGGACCGCAACTCGTGTATGGGAATCCCTCTTGGAGCTGGCGCAGGCTGCTTCGAGCCTGTCGTTCGCTGCGCGCGCGTGCTCCTTCAGTCCCGACGAGCTCGTCATGCTCCACAAACACGCCAAGGATATGGTAAGATTGAATTATGTCGTATCTCATCTCAATTTTCGTAGCTACTAGGGTGCCTACCACCGAGCGCTGCATTACGACATAGCCACGTGATACAATGGAGACATACCAGGCACGACCTTTGACAGTAATATGGAATCAGATAGTTGGACGAACTGAACTACACAGGTGCGCGCAACAACAATGTCGACCAGCATCTGGATAATAACCAGGCGTATATGTAGTTGGGCAATAACACGTTCTTTTTGTTCGCGGGATTGAAGCAACAGCCATCAACACCAGAAACACACACTCGCCGTTCTCGCTTGAGCTCTTGTTCTCTTGACGCGCGCGCATTTGAAACTCTCTTGTTAAAAAAGGGTGTGCGGCCCCTGTTGGTATTTTCCGCAGCCTCTGCAGGTTTCTTTATAATATAATACATATCTGCGTACATGGTCGTAGTCTTTTACTCTCCCATGATGTCTACGTTATTCCTCCCCACCTCTTTCCATCGGTGATTGGGGCTGCAACCCTGACCCATTGCGCGACTCAGGTGGGGTGGGCGAGGGAAGTGCTTGGACGAAACGGAGTGAGGCCATCGATGCATAGTCTACTACACCTGGAACAGGCTGTCCGTGACCACGGTGAGAGAGAGAGAGAGAGAGAGGAATGGTGCTTCTGGCTGGGTACGCATATATATACTAAACAACACTCTTTTGCTGCGGGCCTACAGGTCATGCCTATTCTATTCTCCCTATACACACACGGAGCCCACACACGTGTGTAGATACATACACCCGAACCGAAACCTACGTGTAGAAATTATCGAAGTATCATAAACAAGGCCGGACTCTGCCATTTGAACAACGCCTCGAACGCTCACTGCTGTGCCATTGAACGTTGTGTTTATTATTTTGTCTCAATCGCCATAAGATAAGTTGCCAGTTGGGGCGGTTCGATCCATAAACACGCAGCCTTGATCTAACACTATATTCCATGTTGGGGGCCGCGGGCTGGGACGCCTGGTGGCCGCTTGCTCCCCACCGTGCGCCGAGAAGCATATGGTGTTCGCTTGTTTTCACCCCCGTTGTATGACGTTTGGCTTCTGATTGTTTGACGAGTTCAACATGTATGTGCGCCTGGTGCGTTTGTGTTCGACCGTGAGTAGCGCATATCAGTCATGGAACCAAAATAGAGTTACCTATTCATGCACTCTGCTGACGATGAGTGTGCCCGCAGATAATGGTCACGTACGGATATATATCAAGAGAGGGCTGCCCTGCCTGGTGTGATGGACGAAATTTTCCGTTCATTTCAAACAAGTCACAAAAAACCTGCCGCGGTTCGACCATTCAACGTGTGTGGCCAGATTTGTACTACATAGCAAATGATCTTTCGGTCTTATCACCCACGAACCCAATACGTTGCAGGGTTTGCCCCGAATGCCAGTACGGGAGAGTTCGCACACCAGCAGCACAAGAGGTCCAACCCAAGTAGTTCCGGACGGAACGCACCTTTACACTACATCTCCAACGCGAACACCAACTACGCCTGGATGGGCCTCGCTGATGGTGTTTCATACAACGTGATGAAGCGTAACTGGAAATCAGGGAGAGACGAGGAAGTGACTGTCCGGCCTGGGCGTGGCTGTTCGCGAGTCCTGCAGGCGTTGAGGAAGAAACAACCGGGTGGCCTGGTTGGAGCACCAGACACGCGCGCGGAAGGCATACCCACGAAAGCCAGAGTGGCCGGCTCGCACAAGGGTTCCGCCATCTGGACGGCCCAGCTGCGACGAGAATCAGACGTCGAAGCTAGTGTCGACGGTCCTTCGTTGCCATCGTGGCAAGAGCTCGTGAGCTCGGGGCGTTTTAGACCTACCCCATCGCAGCTTCTGCAAGCCTACAAGACCACGTATGGCTGCGGGAACACTGGGGGTGCGGATGGGACGGCGTGTGCTGAACCTCGCTGCCCTGAGTGCTGGACGCATCCTAACACGTTGACCCACACCTCGATCGAGTGTTCTAGGTTCAACCACTTTGCCTCCCTCGCCGCCAGCAGCGGGTTGGGCCGCTGGAAAGGGGGAGACGCTCGCTCGGCACTGTCCGGCTGCAAGGAAGATGGTTTGTCTGACGAGTGGGTGTTCGGACGTAAAGGTGGAGAGGATGTAGAAATATGGAGGACCACGCCACCTGTCGACGAGGACCGTAAGAAAGTAGATACCGGAGGTTTGACGATCGGGAGGATCGTGTACTTCTTCGAGCACGAGGCGAACGACAAGATGTCGGGGAGGATCAATACCCCCGGCCCGAAGACAAGGTGGGTGTTGACGTTCGAGTACGTTTCAGCAGGAATCGGTCGGGGGAGGCTACCCGACGTGGCGACAAAGCACCCGACGCTGAGGTTGCGCGGCAACGGACCACCTGCGGTATTCCCTGTCAACAACATTCGGCGTCACGTTCATCTGTACCATATGTGCGGATCAAACGCAAGTCACCCGGGCCACGTCCCCGCGGACGAAGGCGATGCTGCTGATCCTCGCGCGGAGTGTGGTGTCGTTCCGGCGTCCGATGGAAGCGGGGCTTTAGTTTCGCAGCATGCGTTCAAACTGGCGAGGCGAACGCCGCATGCACAACACATTCGAGGCGAGGACAAGTACATCGTGAACGAGCACCACCACAGCATCTCGCGAGACTCTTTCATCAACTAGATCATGTTATATATATACTTGCAGGATGGTCGTCGTGACGTGACACATTTCTTGTTATTAGTATGGAAAAAAATAAAAAAAAAATGGCTGTGATAATTTTTTTCGTACAGCGGTATGGACCAGACGCCGACTGTACATAGAAGTTGGCGAGTGTCGACTGAGTTGTGTTGTGACGGCATCTTCCACGCACTTCTGCCAGTGCTGGTTTGTTGATTGGAGTCTTGTAGGTCGAGAGACAGCAGTGGATTCTCGGGTTGTGGAGGCAAAAGTGAACCAGAGCAAAAAATTTCATGCATAGCCATAGCTCGATTACTGCTGCTGTGTTTTTGCTACAGCAATATGGACTAGACGCCGAACGACGTCCGCGTGCTACAAGTACCGCAACGACCTAACGGGATGGGATACTTCCTGCCACGGCGAACCATAGTACAATGCGATGCAAACATCCGTTCGTGTGTCGCGCGGCTGCCACATGTGTCGACGACAGGTACACGTAGAGCTCTCGCCATGTTGTCGTTACCGCGCAGGAGGACCCCTCGGAGATGTTCCACATGGTGCTACAACGACAGCAGTACTACTGCTGTACATAGATGTCGTAGGAGAGTGGAGTTGTGCTGTCACGGCATCTCCCATGCACTCTCCTACCGGTGCTTGAGTCAATTGGAGTCTTGTAGGCCGAAATACAAGAGTGGGTTGGACTCTCAGGTTGTGAAAGCAAACCTGCCTGCAACAACAGAGAAGGCGGTGTTCTATTTACTATAATAGAGTATCCCGCTCAACTTTTTTTTTTTTTGCGGCATGTCGTCGCATATTTCTATGCCACTGCCGAAAAAGACCGCTGGATCTTTTGCGCAGTAAATCTTTTGCATTTATCATTTTACACTGAACGACGCAGGACGGGTCGACCTTCATCGTTGTTGTTGTTGCTGTTGTCTCCACATTAAAAACCGTTCCGACATCCTCCTCGATACTTGTGGACTACCTGTTGGAAATTGTGGGAATCCCTTCATTCTGAGAGAGAGAGCCATAGGTCGCCATCCGGCCTTTTCTTTTTTTGTATGCACTTTTCTTCTTGTGAAGTTTTGACGTTGTGCGCTTGCCATCGTCGCCGCGTAAGTGTTTGTGTCTTCAAACGTTCTCAGCCGGCCTTCAAACTTCTTGTTGATAAGTCTCCGTGTGGTAACTTCTCCGCGCATGAGTCATATGCAGCTATGACCTGCGCTTTGACTTTCACGATGGGTATTTTACCTCCCCGTCTTGCGTTGGTGAGTACCTGCGGCGATATATATACAGAAGGATCGCTCC